CTCTGCGGCTCTAAGATGGCGAGACAAGACTCTCCTATGCGGAACACAGCATCATAGCGGAACTCTCCCGTCAATGCACATTTTGGCCTAGTCCGAATATTTCAGTTTTACAATCGAAGCCCCGTAAATGTGCCGCTCTATCCATTTCTCATGCGCTCTCGAGGCAAGGTGACCCGAATGTGAAAGCGTACCATCCAGACTCGGTCGTAAATGCCCCTTACTGACGGCTCGCTCCGCCCCAACTGTATCAAATTTGTAATCCGGTTCTCTCGCTAACTGCCGAAAAAATCCGCAGATTTGTGTTGCAACGTCTAGAGTTATTCCCGAAAGTCAGTGGCTATCACCTACGTAACACTGGACGAGTAGTGTATACGTGCAGAGCAGACGTGCAGACTTCGGCCCGTCTGCTACACGTACGTACTCATCAAACCGGCATACCATTTGCGCAGAGTCCTCCGAATAACAAAAGTACAGTTACTGAAATCCATACTCAACTCAAATGTCCAGTTGCTTCACTGTCGTCATTCTCCCGAACACAATTCCTTCTCCCCTTCTTCATCTAACTGAATCCCTTCAACTTTGTCTCACATCAGAACTGACCCACACGATCAGACAGACACCACAATCGTGAGCAGATATGCCGTCTGTCAAAGAGGAAGACAGGCGGAGTTCAATGCGCCTCTGCCGAGGCCCACCGCACGAGGAGGCTCCGCTGCTACCTTCAACGGGTAGCCCCACAACCATGTAACGGAAAAGACCCGCTTTTCACGGCGCCTACTCTCAAAACACCACCTCCCGAACTCACCCAACCTCGCAAAAGCACAAATTCGCCCTGAATTTTCGGGAAACGTCCGTGCATTGTTTCTAGCGTACTGTGCCAGGGACGGTCAAGATCGGCTGTTCCTAGCCGTCATGTTTCGCCGTGGCGTGCTACGCTTTGATTCGAAACTTGACTTTTCGGGCATCGAAACCTCTCACGCCTCAGGATTGCCATCCTTCTGTAGAAAAGACCAGTCCTTACCGATCTAGCAAGCGCCATATTCCTTACGGCATGATGCGCAGTGGGTTCTCGAAGTTTGAAGCCAGTGGAGTCGCCTCACCACAGCGCGTAAACGTCCATGACAAGCTAGGCAGTTCCGTTGTGGATCCCGTACAAGCACTCTCGAGGCTTACTACCACCAGCTTGTTCCTCTCTTGGCACCATTCCGTGCTCCATTGTTCTTTGCCAAGTATTGACTGAGGCGCCCAGGAGTCAATTCGCATACACTCATCCCTTGACCTATACCAGCGCACGTCTCATAGACGTGGGGACTACAATCAGTCTCGATTAATTCCATGGGCGGAATGATGGCCAAAAATGATCATGCTCTGTAGTATATATCTTGTCCAGAAGTTGTGATGCTAGTGACCCATCTCCAACCTTCACTTCTACAGCTTGACGCTCTACTCTCTTTTCTTTCTATTCTATTCATTTCTCAGCGCTGAGCGCCAATCTTCCTTCCAACCCCATCAATATGTATTTCTCTGCTGCTACTTCCGTTGCGCTTGTCGCTTTCTTTACCACTGTGCACTCGCACGCTGTCATCTTGGCCGCCGTTGGTGACTCTGGTGAAAGCCAGGGATTCTTGGGTATGTCTCTTAGGACGCTCAAGACATTGAATTGGTTCTTACATTGCTGCAGTCGACCCTGAGCTTGCCCGTAACTGCACCACCATCTCTCCTTGCCAGCAGGATGCCACTATCATTCGCGACGAGGAGATCACTCAAAACATTGTCAATGCTTGCGGACGAACTGAAATTGCCGGTAACATCGATATTGGCGAGCAGACTGAGAACGAACTCGCCGCTGGTCGCATGGCCAAAGTCTCTGCTGGCTCCACCCTGGCAGTCACCATCCACCAGGTCAATGCTGATGGAGCTGGACCGTTCGAGTGCGACATGGACGAGACTAGCAATGCCGTGACCACCTTCACTCCCCTGAAGGTATCCAACAACGTGCCTGGCTCCTTCGGTCTCTCCCAAGCCAAGGAGAAGGAATTTACCATCAATGTTCAGATGCCCGACAAGTTCAACTGCCTTGGTGCATCCACCGGAAACATCTGCACCATTCGCTGCCGTAACAACGCTATTGCCGGCCCCTTTGGTGGATGCTTCGCCGTTCAACAGACTGATGGCACTGGCCGTACTGACAAGAGCGCTTCCGGTAAGTTCAATATTTTATTTCATCATCCCCCCTGGCGCTAGCACACCCATGTATATATACTCACTGCCACTAGCTGTCGACACTGCTCAGACACTTGAGGGTATCTCTGCACAAATTCTTCAGAACCAGAAAGATCTCCCTGCTGCTATCGCAGCCAACCAGGCTGCTGGTGCTGCGGGGGGCAACGAGGGTGCTAGTGCCATTTCCGGTGCGTTTGATTGTTTAATGATGAATGGGGATTAGTTACTAACGTACTCCATAGCTCTCCTGCCCGAAGCGACTCAGAATCCCAACGCTGGCAACGGCAACAAGGGCAACCAGAACGGTAACCAAGGTCAGGGTCAGCAAGGACAACAAGGTCAGGGGCAACGCGGACAGCAGGGCCAGGGCCAGGGCCAGGTTCAACAAGGACAGCAGGGCCAGGGTCAGGGCCAACAGGGTCAAGGTCAAGGTCAGGGCCGCGGTCAAAACCAGGGCAACCGTAACGGTCAGAACCAAGGCAACCGCAACAACAGGCTCCGCCGCTTCGCCTCCAAGTTCCTCAGCTAAGCGATCTCATCGTCAAATCTGAACCAAACAGTAACAGAGCTACATCACATGAGTGTAAGGGTTGGCGTTCAAACTGCTAGAAAAAAAACACAAAAGGGCTGGCCCACCACTTATTCTTATCACAATGTATATACCTTTAGTCATATATGGAGATGGAAAAAACACCTAGAGAAGGATTAAATACATACGTTTATCCTCATTTCATGCCTACGATCTGTACCTGTGATCTCGAATACTTAAGATTGATTGAATTCCAGTTACACAAAAAATTGTGAGGAACGGAGAAGGGGAAAAAATGGTATCTATGCAAGATTAGAGAAGAAAAAAAAATTGTTCGACATATCCTATGGTAAACCCTAGGCACGTTTTCTCTTTTCTTTGTCCCCTTCGTGGATCGAACACGATACCTCCAGATGATTGTGACTGAGAAGACTTCAGTCTGGCGCTCTCCCAATTGAGCTAAGGAGACTGGCACGTGATGGAGCATTGATGGGTTAGTGGCTTCACATTACTACGTTTTATTTTTCGTTGGATTCGGTGACATCACATTCATTTTTCGCAAAGCCGATTCAACTTCGCCGTAGTGACTTTGGGGTTCGTTTTGTGAAGATGAGAATTTTTTGGGTGCCGAAGACTAGTGGTGCTAGGCTGGTGGAGGCTGCGATTTGGGTAAGGTTATGTGGGGTTAGTTGGTAATGGTCGTTGTTTTATCTTCAGGTTTGAAAAGAGTATCCTGGTCTTTGTTTTTGCGTGCTGTCGAGTGAGGCATAGGAGTTATGTTGGATCCATTGCATAAACCACATACAGGGCGCTGTATGGAGCGTTGCAGCTGGTATCGGCGTTGGCGGTGGCATGTGTCGAAATAGGCGGAGGATTTGATGGCATAAATGCTTCAACGGCGATTATCAAGCCATGTGTATATTCTGCAAATTCAGCTTTCACTAAAACCAGTGTTTGGGTTAAAGTACAATTGCGCAGCACAATGAGACACAAAGGCTACACGTGAGCTTGATGACGACATCAAGCGTCGTCAGCATGAATCTCCAAAGATCGATAAGATGTGCATTCATACTAAGCATTGACATGTTTGGTGACCCCCCGCTTTATGGCCGCAAGACCACGAAGAGAACGCAAAAATCAAAGTCCGGATTGCCTTGTTTTGGCAATACCATCCAAGTAAAAGCAATACATGACGAAGAAAGGCTGACTGGGAATGCTGACCATTCACAGCCAATCACATCGCACGTAATTTTGCTGACATGGGTAGCTGACTTCCCAAAAGACAAGGTACGTAACCGTGGCTATAATGTCGTGATCAACACGCTATTCGTCGCTGATCCTTCATTCTCCATTGAAAGCGGGAAAACTCTGTGCCGCAACGTAGCACTCTCGCGCGCGCTCGTCCGACAGTGGTGTGATCCATGCAATGTGAAGGGGGCAAGTGAAGCGGTGGGTTAGTAGGCAAACCCACTGTGCTGTGCACGCAACCAAACATCTTACGAGTGTGCCAGTCGCACTAAGCCAAACCAAGATGACGATGGATAACTTGTGATAGATGTTCGGTCAGCTTACACATGGACACATTGTCAGCAGAAATGGATTTGTGAGCAGTTTTCCTTTTGATTGGGTAGCCCGCAGATGCTAAATCAATAGCCTCGGAAACAAAGCGCGGAAAGAAGGCGCGGAAAGACAACTTGGCGGGCACGCAGATGTCACGTTGTATTCTCCAAAGAAACTCCGCACCGACAACCGTACCTGTAATCGCCCGGTTGCTCGTTTCGTTCTAGTCGAGGCCGTAGCCTGCGTCAAGTACCCCTTGCCTGGAAGCCTAAAAAGAGGGCACAGAGAGTCATATATACGTACTACCGCCAGGCACCCATACCTTCTATATATCTCAAAACACATCCCCACTCGAAATTTGGGAAGGTCTCACAATCGATCGTGTGTGCTCCCAACCCAAAAGACAAAACAAGTATTACTGCAAAGAGCAGAGCCTCACACGCGTAAGACGCTACCACACCCCACATATTCCGACCCGAAGCCACCTACGCAGCCCCACATCGCGAAGAGGAAGACAAAGTGATACAACTACATCAGCCATCGCCATCGCCTTTGTTCGTGAATTCGTGGATCCAAATATCAATACTTCTATTTCCCAGCGGCCAATCTCTACACCCCCACACATCATCTACGAAAACATCGACAGAAATTATACGAAAGAAATAAAAGGGAAGGCAAGATAGTCACAATGGCCCTCTCAACACACGCAATGTCGCATATCCGCCGCTACTCAACACGCATGCCACGCGACCCTCACTACCGCCTCAAAGCCTCACTCGCAACCAGCTACGTTGTGACTGCGTGTGCGCTGCCGTTTGTGCCACCGCTGCTTGAGACGAGGAGAGCAAAGGCAGACGGAAGTTGGATGACAAAGTACGTTGAAGACTAATTTTTTACCGCATCTCATATTGCCCTTCATGAAAAGCATACTGGATTGAAAAGAAATACTAATTATCGAACAGAGAGAGTATGCATTGTTCGTCGCAGTTTCTAGGTTGTCCAAGGTGAAGCGTGGGTTTTAGGGTAAGATGACGCAAGTCTTAAGTAAATGATGAAAAGGCCTAGGCTAACCAGCCCATCCAGTCATCTTCTTGCATCTTTCTTCATTCAGGCTTCCAACATATCCGGCGTTTTCGGCTTCTTTCTTCGCTCTCTGATACAATGGCCAGAGTACCGCAGATTTACCCCAACATATATGATTGGGCACAGTTTCAACAAGCGTGGTTCCCAAGTACTGTTTATATGATTTTAAATTCAATCAAATAAATGTTTAGTTGACTCTTCAGTATTGGAACGTTACATGCTGAATTTCTTGCTACCCCTTCTCAGTCAACATCGTTAGGATGAGTTTGTTGGTTTTCTACCGCGTCGTGCATCTCTTCTTCTTCTTCGTCTTCGTCCTCGGTAGCCGTTTCGTACATAGTGACGTAAAATTCTCCATCGTGCTCGAAAAATTGCAGACTCTCGTCATCCGTAAACCCATCGTCTGCATCAAGCTCAAGGTCGAGCTCCATATCGTCGTCTTCTTCCAGGTCGTCGACTTCGAAATCGTCGTCCGTTTCAGCCAGACCATCAGCCTCTTCATCGGTATCGAACATATCCATAAATGGGAGCCGCCGACCAGGCCGCACAAACTTGTGCCGCAGGCGATGTAGATCGCGCCTTGTATTAATTAATATTTCGCCGATGTCAAGGTCGCCTAATTGATCCGTCTCAGGGGGTGGTACACCAAATTTCACTATGTCGCCCGGATTTACCACATGGCGATGGAAGCCCACTTCGTCGGCATCGTACACACAATGAACAACTGGAACACGTTCGTTGTGGAGATATGGAGGTATCAGGCTTGGGCTCTTGTGTAACTCTATCAGCATTCGGAGATTGATGCCAGCCTTGAAAAGTTTGTATGCCTTTGCATGCCTATTGCGAAGAGACTCAGGGTTACAGATATAGCTTGGTTCAGACAGATCGAGCCTATCCAATGTTAGTGAATTCATAAGACCGAACTGCTTCTTTCCAAGAGCATCACTATTATTCTATAACTTACCAGATATATGAAGATTGCATAAGCTCAAGAGTGTCGAGGGACGGGAGCGCAGCGTAATGATCAAAGTCGGGAGGATGGTCCCAAAAGTCGACGGGAACATCCCAGTGTCGGCGGATTCGAAGTGTCTGAAGTTGAGGAGGAGCTAGGTCGCGGTTCATTACAATGGCCGTGTGCAGGAATGAAGTTGTATCACACTCCATGTAATCAAGAGCATGAAAGTTGCGCATGCCATCGCCAGGAGGCCGAACACTGCGAAAAACATGAGGGCTTGTATCTAGATGCCACCCAGGGTCAAGGTGTGTAAGTCTTTCTAGTGAATGCGCAACGGCCGATAATGCCTTCAACGAAGCGCCTGGGTCTCTAGATAGAATAGGTTTGGCACCTCGCGACCGGTTGACATTGAAGACGTTTTCGCCGAGCGTCAATGACTTGAGTCGTGCTGGTGTGCGCAGAATACTCAGCAAGCTCTTAGGCTGGAGTTCGCACTCGTCAAAATACAGCGATGTTAGGGGTGTTTTGCCGACATGTGTGGCAAGTTGTGGAATTTCTGCATCCGGAAAAGCAACGCAAGAGACATGAAGGTGGCGAAGGGTGGGGTGTTGAAAGAGACAATGAAAACCATTGAACTCCCAGAAATCCGTGTCAGCACCGTGCGAATGGATCGTCAGGCGCTCTAGCAAAGCTAGGCCTACGGTTCGCTCGACATGTTTGCCGAGGCGTTGTTCTGCCAGAATGTTGTCTGCCTCTCTGGGGCCTTCTGCGCATGCAGTGTCCAGTGCGCGTCGGAAGCGCTGCATGTCGCCTTCAACCCAAGCCTCTCCACCAGCACCTTCCCAATGAAAGTTGTCATATGGACTCTCAATGTGCCAATCTCGCAGATTGACCATATCGGCAACACATTCATTGAAGGTCGCCCGCAATTCGTCGCTGTCTTTCAAGTCCCCTGGCTGGTATTGATATAGGATCTTCAGTGTTTGTACGGCGCGGATGCGCTCGCGGCGCAGCGTGAAGGCTGAAATGATGGCATGGAGATTCTTGACTGAGAGCAGCTCCACTGTCTTGTATAGTCGCTCTTCAGCTAGATGCTGCATGCTGCGACATGTCTGGGCGAGCGCACATAGAGCCTTGTTGCTGCCTTCGAGATGGTCGATTACGAGAAGGGCAAGTTCGTTGGGAAGCCGCGAATTCGCGCTGCTAAGAGACGCTGAAGCCATGACACGCGTTTTATGGCTTGAATGTGAGTATATATCGATGGACGGTCGCAGTGTTGACGGCCTGCTGCCTAGGCGTGGAAGATAGCACTATTTCCAGTCAGGAAATGAGCTCCGAGAATGTGTACCAGCGGGCTGGCGAAAATACGGTACCTCTACTCACCAAGCAGCCCCTCTTTAGTATTGATTAGTTGGGTCCGAGTATATCCCTCATAACACAGAGGCTGTTCAGGACGCGAATTTGACCAGCGCTATTGAAATTATGCAGGGACGAGCGATGGAGGAGCCGACTGCGGGGTTGCATGGGCACTGGCCAATGACGTCGGCGCGTCGTCGAAATCCCACGCACATGTCAAACCCATGCACTCGTCTGGAATTCACATGGCCTTTGGCATGGCCTCAACTTCACCTTCACCGAATTACGCCATGATGTTGTTACTGTTGATTATTCTCACCGGGTCCTGGTCCAGACCGGACAATCACCCCAATATCGAATGGCACATCAAGCACAATGGATCTTGCTTTCTACAGCACCAGTGACAACAGGAAGCGCACAGCAGAAGATACGTCAACGGCCACGGAACTATATGCATTGCATTCTCAGGATCCTGCGCCCCGCGTCCTCCGTCGCCACCATCACCGACATCGCAATGCTGCTTCCGAAATGTGGGGTCTAGACATTCCCTCCTCTCAAACGGACTCTCCCCCTCGGAATGACACCCAAAAGCCGCCATTCAGCGTCTACAAGGCTATCCTCCGGCACAAAAACCTCTTCTTTCAGTTTGCTCTACGCCTGCCGTATTCTTCTGTTATCGACCTTTACGCCATTGACAAGGAGTTTCACTATCGCCTTAACAAGTACAGTGTCTCGCTCATTCACGACTATGCCCGGCGCAATGCTCCTCTGGCCGGTCACATTTTCAGCTGGGTGCTGTACCCGCAGCTATGCATTTCAGACCCGATGCTCAGACCAATGAACGAGCGACAGTGGCTAGCGCGAGATGTGCCCGGCTTCCGCTGGGTCGGCATGATACTCTGGCGCCAGAACATTGTTCGATCCATCCTTACAATCCTTAGCATGGAGGGCCATCGGGTGCCGGCTGCATGCGAAGCTACACTTATGAAGTTTTGGTGCCTCATGGAGATGAAGACCACAAAGCTGCGCCTCTCTTTCCTCAACGACAAGGAGATCTGGGCTGATGATGACATTATCAACTTTCAGCTTCTTCTTGTGAAGCTCGATATGCGCTTTTCAGGCCCTATTCTAGGAAACGGCTGTTGTGAGCTGGCGTCTATGCTGCTCAGCCAGAAGAGTTTAAGCACGTTGTGGAAGGTACTGAGTGGCAAGCTCAAGTTGAACTACGAAACAACGTCTAGTATGGTGGCCGAGACATACCACGCAGATGAACTTGACATACAAATGCAGGCTTTGCTTCAAGATATGACGGATGAAGAGGGTGATCCACTAGGTCTTTTGGCTCGTGAGGGCTGGCACAGGGACGGTGCTAAAATGGAGCATGCAGTCGACATGGTCATTGCCGAGGGCATCAGAAGGGACCTGCATGTCCAACAGTACTATATGGATTTTATTCTCTATGGCTTTATGGATGAGGGAACCGGGAAGAATGTGCCTGTGCCGAGACAGCTGAGGGGTGAGAGGAATGTGAAGCTTCAAAATGAAGGATGGCCAGAGAAGAAGTTGAGAGATGACACCATTAAAGAGCTAGATGTCCGCTTTGGGGTTGTCGAGAGCAAAAAAGGGGATGCGATGGATACCAGCACTTGACTTCCAAGTATGCAAAGTTCTGGGACTCTGTGAGGCAAGGCATAAAGCTTGTGCAGCATCGTTTTAATAAGAAACGATGAAAACATTGTTCATTTTCTTCATTTACACATGGTTGAACCTCAGCATATCACATCACACCCCCCCTCTTTAACACACCGAAATCACCTACCCCCCAAAGCCACATACTCCCCGACAATCCCCCTGTAATCCTCTGGCATATAAGCCGTAAACCTCTCCCTCCACCAACTCCCCTTCCTCTCATTCCTCACCCCCACATCCTTCAACAACCGATCCACATACGGCAAGCAATCGAAAAACATTTCAGGAAACCGCGCCCCGAACCCGCGACTGTAGCGCCACCTGCTAAACTGTGTGTGCAGCACTGTTTCGTACATGATGCGCTTGGAGGCTGTCGTATTCTGGAGGGACGGGATGCGGTTGTCGAAGTAAGCGGTTATCCATAACGCTTGGGTTTGCGATATTATTGTTGTGGCTGGGCTACGGTAGGCACCTGCGAAAGCGAGGGTGCGGGATGGGATGAAGGATGGAGGGACTATGTAGCGGTATAGTCGGTAGGGTTCTTGCTGAGTCTCCTTATCACTCTTGTCTGCAGACGCATTTCGTGGAGCAGGCTGGTTCTGGAGTTTGGGGAAGGTAGCGAAGATTTGGGCGTCGGCTGCGCGGGTGTGGTCTTGTGGTGTTTGGGAGGCGTGCCCGGGAAGACCGAGGTCCTTGGTTGTTTGGAAGTCGAGCTGAGGTGTGTCTTTCCAGCCTGTGCCGCAGATTAGGACGTCGGATTCGATTACGGTGCCGGTGGAGAGGTGGATGGCTTGAGGGGAAAGGTGCGAGATGTCTGCGATGTGGACTCTGACCATGCCGTTGCGCACGAGTTCGAAGAAGTCGTTTTTGTAATTCAGGAGACCGCGATTCGTGCCGATGAAGAAGACATCGTCCCAGGGTTTGAGCTTTGCAGTTTCGGGATGGGAATCGTAGCCGTTGATCTCTTCAGTTGCGTGCTGCATCTTTGTGAAGAGGGCGTCCGAGATCTTCCTCCCGAACCAATGCTGATTGAAGAAATTGCGAATTTGTATGAAACCATCGTCCCAGATGCTCGGGCTAAGCCATGTAATCAGCCGTGTTTGTATAATTAACTCCGGAATGATCTTCAAAGGCGTCAGACGGTTTGGCATCATCCAACAAGGACCGTGTCCTGATTCCCGGATGATCCAGTCCACTTGAATGCCTGCAGAGGCGTACGCATATGCAATATCCCATGAAAACTTGGCACCGCTGAGAAGAGCAATCTTCTTATACGATCTTAGCCCGCCCTCGGCTTTTGCGAATTCGCTTGAGTGATAGATTGGTGCATCAAAGGTTTCCTTCCCATCAAGCTTGGGCATAGAAGGTTCAGACGTCAATCCTGTTGCAACGACTAGCCTCGAAGCCTCGATTTGGTAATTTATTTCCGTCGAGTTCGTGTATTGTGATACTGTTAACATCCAGCCCATCGGTCCTTGGTCCACGGCTGACTTAACACTTGTTTCGAGACGAATTTGTTTTGCCAAATTAAAGGTTTCCACATAGCTATGCAGGTACTTGTTGACATGTTCCCCGGGTATATGGCCGTCCACAAGGTCGAAGCCCTCTGTATCCATAGGAAGGTCGCTAAACTATACCTGAGTCAGCTCCGCTCCGTGTAATTACTGCAAGGGGTACGTGTACCTCGAACGTGCGGAAGTGATTGTTTGTATGAAGCCCCGGGTACAGTCTATCTTTTGCCCATACCCCTCCTATGGACCGGGACTTGTCTAGAACCAAGATTGATGCCTCGGGGTGAACATCGCAATATGTTTTGGCGATGACTAGGCCGTGTATGCCTGCACCGACGACGACGAGATCAAATTTTTCGATATCAGCCATAGCGACGGGTACGAGATGGTGTTATGTTGCTATCGATGTGGAATGCGGGTATTGCGCGATATATCTATTCAGTCTGACTGAATTCATGGCTTGATTGAGTTTGGCCAGGGCTGACTGAGAGCTAGAACGCCCCTTGTCTCAAGCCAGAGATGGCACCGGCCCATCGTTCAATAGTGTGCTGGCTGAAGAACCAGAGAAGGGCGACTAGCAACCAAGCGCATTCTAAATGAATCTTGGAGCCCGAGGCTGACCACAGAAGCGAGGAATTCATCATCGACTCGCTCTTGCAGGCCAACGTGGGTAGGATCATTCAGCAGGTGCTTGAAGTCCTCGTCAGCATTGTCTTGATCTGACCAGCGCAATGTTCGTTGTGGCGTAGGACTCAGATAGGTGGCTGCACTAGCACACAGCACTAAGTGGGGAACATGAAGGTCGAGACAGAGGTGGCTTGGGCCATTTGATCAAGCCGTATTTTTGCATGCCAATCATGTAGTACTCTAGATTAGGGGTGCTTTCGCCACCTGTTTAAGTGCAATGCCATTCGATTCTTATCTTCCATATGTTCGAACAGCTTGGCGGAATTTGCGCATCGCATCAGGAATGCAATGTGATGGGATATAGTGAACCTGGTAGTAAATTTGAAGAAGAAAAAAAATCGTTGATTAGAGGATAAGCTTGGAAAAACTTGTGGTAATTGATGCAGCTCTAGCACAACCGCACTACTACACCAATCGTGATGCGGTTCTTGTACTTGGCGACCGGCCGCTTCCTCTTTGCGCTCATCACAGTCCGCGAGAAGTACTGAGTGCCCTTTTTGGAGCATTTTGCTATTCGAGTGTAACAGTAAAACGGATGTTATGGTGATTGCTGACGGAACTAGTCACGCCTCATGCCACGCAAGCTTTGCTAAGCATCGGTAAGCGTCAAAACACTTAACCCTTTTCTTCGTTTGTAGTACCAAACAATGAGCCTACCAACCATTGAAACCACAGTTTATGCTGCAGTACCGGCTCGGTAACTTGCCGCGGGACGCAGCAGCAATCAAAGGATAGATAGATGGGGGGTAAAGTGCGTTGTACCATCACTTCTCTCCATGTTGTACAAGACGTGACGCATAGGGTTGGAAATGCGCACATAGCGCGGAAAGAGTGGAGTATCTTTACGTTTGAAGGAGTGTAGATCAAGAGGGTATCAAGACGAGGGAGAGTAGAACAGCTGTAAGGTTATGCCGAGATTGACTTCTATTTTTCTTTCAAACCAACACCAAAAAAGGCAGGCGCGACCACTCAGCAAAATGGTCCATATCTTCTTCTTTGTTCTATACGTCGGTTTCTCCAAGTCGTTTCCACTTGTACGAAGGGCCGAATCTACATGGGAACTCTCAAGCATTTCCTTGACGCCATCTTGGGTATCTGATATTGCCACCGGTACGGGTGCGAAGTTTCTTCGATTGGATGTCGATCACGTTTTAACAACCGCGACCACAATTTTGCACAAAAAGGAAAATTCTAAGATGATACGCGATACGAGCATCGAATATCGGACCAGGAGCACATGATATCTGACCAGGTAGATCTGTGTACTACAGGAAAAGAAGTAGCTGTGAGTCGGACTCGTGATCGCTTTGATTGTGGAAGGGCGACGGCATGGAATAGAATAAAGAGGAGCTTCAGAGAGCTCAATTTTGTTTATCGTCTTCTATGATCAAACCATCTATTTGTTTGAGAGGATCCGGATCAACAGCAGTGTGCTCCATGCCTACTAAACCCACCAGAGCCTCATCATCGATATAGTCTCTTGTTTCGGGGTTTGAGTTTGGTTGCTGGCCGTGTGCAGCCTTGAGCTTCAAGATGTCACTTTCACTGAACTTCTTGAAGGCCTTTGGATTCTTCTTTTCCTTCTTGGCGTGTGACTCGCTCTTGAACTGATAGCCCCTCACACGTGGCCCTTGGCCAGTCTTTTCGGGTAGGATGGGTTCGTAGTAGGCTTCGAACGCAGCTACGTCAGCATCAAAAGTCCCGGCTTCGATGGAGGCTCGAACTCCAGCAAAAAAGGCTGAGAGGATGGCGTGATTGTGCATCTGAATCAACACCCAACCTAGCATTTCTTTGGCAGCAAGGAGGTGTTGAAGGAAGGCGCGATGATGCCTCGTACAGGCATAGCAAGTGCAGCCATCGGAAAGAGGGGTGATAGATTGCGCATGATGGCCACCCCACATATCGATTCCTAGAGAGCGGCGGGCGGTGTCGCTTGACTCGTTTTTGGGTGCTGGGAAGATGAAATCGAGCACAATGCCAGCATCCGTTGCGTCGTTTACAAAGGGGACGGTAAACATATCCATGCCCAGGCTGATGTGACGGAGAAGCTCGTGGGGGGTGCTTGGGGCATGGAACGACAATCGGGGAAGGTGGTGCAGTTGGTCCGGGAGGTCATCGAGTAGATAGGCGTCGTATATGGCAACACCGCTGATTTTGTCCACCATGTCGTCAAGTAGATGTTCGAGATACCATGACTGAAGGTCGCGCTCGATTGGCAGTATAGGCGCAAAGATGGCGCAGCCCTTGGCTTGATTATCCACTGTGCCTTGCTTGACAACCAAGTCGCGCAGCCACGTCTCAGTCCTGTCGCTCATCCTGTCTTTGCGCTTAAGGCTCACTGATTCCTGGCCAAAGGGGATGTCGGCCAGCCCGACAACAACATCCGGCTGTAGCTTGCTCGTAGCGGCGGCATAAAATTCCGACGAGACAGTAGTGAAGCCGACTGAAGTCAAGAGGCCTACTTGTGTGTTTGAGTTTGCGTGGGGGCTCGGTATGGGCGGATTGCGACGCGCACCCAGGACGAGGAGCGTCTCTGGAGGGAGGGCGATGAAGTTGCGGAGAGGATCGGGAACGTCATACTTCAGTACAGGCGGTGTTTTTTGAGGGTGCTTTTCCACGACTGCAAAGAGTCAGCCATGTGCTGGAGCTGCTGATGGCTGCGCTACCCACAGTCTTCGAGCGGAACATAGACGCCCTCTAGGTCGAGGCTTTTCTGGAAATTGTCTTGGGAGATGTGCGGAATGATGCCCCGCGACGTGCTGCCTATGAAGCCAGGCGTCAGTATCTTGTTGCGTCCTGGCACCGACAGGCGGCCGAGTCGTGGAGCCAGAGAGCCCGCCGCCTTGAGAAGCGTGAACTCGAGCATCTCGGCTGGCAATTGGTCTAGCTTCTGCGCTGGGCTTTCAACAGACATCGCGGCGCTGAACTACGAGTCTGCTGGATTCAGAAGCCTGTCCCAAGTCCTACAACAAGCTTGTAGGGGTTGCGGTGCACAGTGACTTTTACAGCGGGGCATGTTCATCCTCGTCGGCCCACCCCGCTACAGGTGAGCATCGAAATGGTCGGTGCGCACACGTGATCACGCGTGAGAACACGCGTTTGGTCCTCTTAGCGTAATCACATAATCATTCCAGCTGGTGTTGGTGGAGACGATCAAATCAGTCCAGTAAGGACACCTGCTACATGCTTCCATATCTAGTAACCTAGCTTCTTCGCTCTCTCCTCTCCAAGAATATCGACCAAGCTCACCAGCTTGAAGCTCGCCTCCTTTGCGGTCCCTCCTTCAGCAACTTCATTTGCATCGTCGTGCGTAACGAACAAGCCGCTTGGAAAGTCCTTGTTGAGTGCGTTGCCCACCGCAGCAATTCCGTCCGTGTTGCTCACATGGTCGATTCCCTTTTCTTTATTGTCCACGATAGTGAACTTGCCAACGTACGCGTGCGGTGGTGCTCGCTCATAGATGATGTACGACGAAATTCCCTGCGACGAGACCATGATATAGCCACCAGGTCCAGACTTGGCAGGCACAAGCGTGAGCCCCTCTACGTCAGCCTGGAGACCGCTATCATCACCTATCTTGGCGATTTGAACACCTGTCTTAGAGCCATTAGGCTCGGCCTCATATCGCCAGATCCCTAGCCCTTCTTCGCCAATGAACACATATCCAGCGCTGTCATCGCTGACGCAGCCTTCAACCTGACCACCGGAACCACCTTGGAATTCACGTACGAGGCTAGCTTTCAGAGTACCATTGGAGCTGCTCGTAAGCTCGTATTGCAAATACTGGGCCTCTTTGTTGTTCACGAAAAGGTACTCCTTTCCTGAGACCTTGGAGCGGTAGTTGCACGACCCGTACGGTTCGTAGTCTTCAGGGAGCGGCTGTATACCCCCTGATATATCACTGACGTAGCCTGTGCTATTGACTTCCACCAGACTTCATCCTGTTAGCCAGTGTCTCTTGTCTACAGCTTTGCTACTTACCAGAGAGTGTTGTCGCCACGGCATGCAGCATATGCAAGATCCACTGTGCGATTGCCAACTGTAAAGTTGTAAATGATATCGACGTTGTTGGGTTTGCTCGCAGTCAGGTGTTGTAAGAGCTTTCCCTGCAAATCAAAGACGCCAAAGCCCTCGCCTTCCTCAGATTTGGTCGTAGTAATAATCTTGCTTTGGTCCGGTCTAATGGCATGTATCCAGATAGCTGGGTCGTCGCCGTCGCCGCCGTTAGCTTCCGTCTCGTATTTGGGTTGAACGGCTAGAAACGAGCAATCCGGTCCCTTCCATGAGTCTTTGCAGCTGCATACGTTAGGACCAACACAATCTCCCTGTCCAGAACAATCATTCTTGCAGACGGTTTCAGAGCAATCCCGACCAGTGAAACCAACGAGGCAAGAACATTCTGAGTCATTGAAAAATCCATTGTAGGAACAATCCTCTGAAATGACGCTATCGCAATCATTGCACAGCTTGCTTGCAGGACTGTACTTGGTGTTTGGTTGGATACCTAGGGAGGCTAGGGCACCCGAGAGAGAGCCCACGGCAACGCCAGTGTCTTCCCTGCCCTCGAAGGCAAATGCGATAACACCGGATGGATAACCAGCAACGGCCGATTGCAGAATGGAGAGCCCTCCCTCGATGGATAGCTCTGAGATTCCATCCAATGCAATGCTTCCTCTTAGTTTCACTGTCGCATCATACACATCAAGCGTCGTGTCATGGGCTACGAAAAGGTAGTCCTCAAAGGTGCCATGGTACGTAGCTAGGCCAGCAACCTTTGCGTCATTGGTCACAGTTTGAATCGCTGGAGCTTCTGTAGTCTCCGAAGCCTGGAATGAGTACAATGGTCGGTCCTCAGCTGAGAAGAAGACTTGGCCATTTGAAAAAACCGAGCAACTCTCGCCCTCGATGTCTACAGGAAAGGTTTGGACCTGTAAAAAGTCAGCTTCAGTATTTTCTTCAAAAAATGGCGCGCATGGTACTACCTCCAAGGTCTCTACTTCGTCTTTGCTTTCGCGAATCAAAAACTGCACTACTATTTTCTTTCCGAACAGGAAGATGTAGCTTTCCCCACTCTTTGCGCTACGCCAAGTGCAGGCAGTGCTCCAATCACCAAGCTGTTTCTTATTGTTGCTTTCAAGCCTCTCTCCTGTTTGACTCTCAAAGATCCTGATCAAAGAGTCTGGTGCGGGTATGTTGACAATGAGATCGCGGCCACCAATGTCGTGAACTGGTACCGCTATCTTGGATCGACCACTCTTTTCATGGAAACTTTCTACAAGAGAAGTTTCGTTCGAGAAGGCAAATGATCGGAAACCTCCATCTGCTGCACTGCCATCGTTCACAACCAGGCGCGGTGATGCGCCGTAGACGAAGTTGGTGTTGTCTCCTTCGAAACCGGTCACAGCGGGAACAAGTGTAATGTTTGCATCTTGAGCAGAAACGGATGAGATGAGGCCTGTTGCCAAAATGGCATAACGCGAGGAGATCCTCATGTTGGGATGGGAGATTGGCGAATTAATCAAGGGGGGACAAACATCGTAGCATGAGCAGTAAAGCCCATCTTAAGCATGCGCAAATCCCTTGCCACCCTTGTGCACAGTCAACGAATGCTAGCAATAGCCTGAGGACTTTAAGGCGTTGTTGCCAAATAAGGACCGATCTCCTTGCTAATATAACCCAAAACAGTAGTTGGGAGTGTGGTGCATGAAAGACCAATGGACCCAGTTTGGTGGGACGGCCAATAGCAACACGGAACATGACAACGTGAGAGACTGGGTAGAGATGTTTCATCAACACCACATGCCAGCCACGCTCGAAGTAGGCGGCCATAACTGCCATCAACGCCCCTACCCAGTCTTTTGCATCTCAGTGCTACTCCGCCAGATTAACCTGACAGTGGCCTCCACTCTTGCCCAGAGTACGGTTCAAAAAGTACGCTGTCAAGCTGTATACCAGCCTGGCTCCTGCTTACTCCCATAGCATTGCTCTCTAACAGTGGCATCTGCCCACCCGTACGCGGGCCCGATGTCTCTGAAAAACTTCAAACAGGTCACTCCCATCAAGAAGGCGTTCTTAGCCAGCTCCTTAGTGACTCCTCAGTCCAAGGTTGCTAGTCCCAGGACTAAGGCTGCCATGACGACAAGTGAGCAGGTTGCCGTTATATCTGTCCAAACGACAATCCAGCACAACTCAAATACAGAGCTCGCCATCGCTCATGGCAAGGCCCTCAAGCAGGAAATGGATAAGTACGCGGCAAAGTTTTCTGCAGTCACATGTGGTTGTCACGAGTCGATCAATATCAATCTTCGTCATCATGCATCTCTCGCATTATGAATCATACACCAAAATGCACGTACTGTGCCCAACTTAAAGGTCGCTTATGGAGCTCTTCACTGTCTCTAACCCGTTGCACTGCCTTGTGTAAAGCTATCGCCACGGCTTTGTCCTTGTTTCGACCTTTTACGCCATCTCGGTAAAGTTCGGCATAAAACGCCTTCGCAATGGCCGAGCAGACTCTATCCTTAGAAGGCCACAGACATCCAATTACATGTCTGAATCCTGCCGTCTGAAATCCGCTCACAACGTGTAGCATCTCGTCTGAGAGTAAATCTGCCCTACCATCAGCAGTGTAGCAAGCAGAGAGAAATGCTATTTCTGCCTGCGAGAGTTCAAGCAGAGATATCATTTGAGTCGTCAACATATCCTGCCTTGGGGTACTGCTCTCCTTGTCCTCTCTTTGTAATATCAATCCACTCGCGCCTGGACTTTGCTCATCAGATAATCCATGACAGGCAAAATGGGCGATGCTACAACCTTGAAGCTTTGATAAGGTAGTCGCGACACTTGGCCGTTCTATGACCTCGACATCCACCACAGTCTCAATTACTGCAGTGATATCTTGCGCCTCCACGATGCTTCTAGGAAGTTTGTTCATACCGGGTGTATCTGGCATGGTCACTATGAGTGCTTTTTGAATGCCAGAGGACGGAGCGGTAGCCACAGAGCGCTCTCGAGCATAACGAAGAGCTCTGATGGTCGGCGTGTAGGATGAGATTGCGTATTGACCGACGTTACCGGATGAATCTCCTGCAGCATGGAACGGGAAGTTATTGGCAAATCCGGTGCCAATCCACCATATTCTGGGAAGGCTATCTATGGAGGCTTTGGCATCATAGTGCAGTTCTTCCATTATCGGTTTCACACAGTCTTGCCACAACCAAGACAAGAATTGACGATAGATTTTGTTCTTTTGGCCAGCTTTCTTGTCGTTCATCGAGGTCGTTGTCAAATCTTGGTCCATCCAGCTTCGAACATCATCTGTGCTGAGCTTAGGAAACGAAATTGTCCTAGTTCCACGAGCAGTAACAACGATTGCATCGCTTCTTAGCTGGGTAATGTTTACAACGATAATATCGCCATCGGACGCGCAATCTTGCATTTGCTTCACAGTGCTCCTCTCGTGGAATTTGTCAAATCCAGGTAACTTCCGAATTTCCTGCACGCATTCGTCGAGTTTCTCCATATCTGACATTTGCGATGACAAAGCCTCATTTCGTTCAAGACAATTTGAATATCCTTCAGTAGGCTTGTTTGTCTCAATTCGGAGACTTTCGTATCGCACGTAAAGCTTGGGATGCGCGACTTCTAATGCTTGGATGTTTCGTCGATCTTCCATCAACAGACCAAGGATCAATCCACGGCCTCTTTCCAATAACTCCAGCGCAGTATCTGGTCCTTCACCCTTGTGGAGGGCGATGGAGCAGGCGATGGGAGATAGCCCGAAGAAGTGGGATACAACGTACTGTTGATCTTGTAGATTCAGAGATCGCTTGTGGACATAAGGTAGCATGTTTATAGCTTCTACAGCGAGATCGAATGCGCGGTCGTAGTCGTGGTCGAGATGGAGTAAATGGACAAGTAGGTTACAAGCAATTATACGGACGAAAGGACTGCCATTCTTGCAACTCCAGACCCGTTGAAGGACGTGGATGACTTCTTTCAGATCTTTCAATTCCTCCGATCGTCCATATCCGTATAGGAGTATAAGGCCAAGATCTTTCAGGACAGTCGAGTAGCTGTGGTGGGTCTCTCTTGTAGCCTTTAGAGCTTCCCTTGCAGCTTGAATTGCTTGGTCCAGGTCTTGTGAGTCTTTGGTACACTCGTACCGATAGCGAAGTTGTTTTCCAAGTCTGTTTAGCAGCACTCCGGTATGTGGATATCCCTTTGGTGCAAGGCCTATGGCTCTCTGTTGGATTTGTATGGCTTCATCTAGAAGCTCTGTATCTTTCTCACGTTCGAACTTGCTACCAAGCAAATCGCTAAGGTTACTTAGCATTGTCGCGAAATTCCGATATCCCTGAGGTAGTATCTCAATCGCCTTGCGAGCTACTACAATTGCTTCTTCTAGATCTTTGCCATCTCTTAATCGCATGTATCTCAACTGTAATATGGCCACCAGGTCGGTGGAGATTTCGGAGAAGTCGGTACAGTCCTGTTGTGTCCCTTCAAGGGCTTCTCTCATGAGCTGCATTGCTTCGTCCAGATCGTTAGTATCCCCAGAAATGTGAAACCTGAGCTGCAGAATCTGGCCCAGCCCATGCATAAGTCCTCCCAGACTTTTGTGATTATATGGGGTTTGACGAAGGGCCTGCCGTGCTATTTCCGTTGCTTCTTCCATGCATTTTGTGTCTCCGGAGAGCTTGCAAAGAAGATGAAGCATCGGCAAGAAGTTGGAAAGCATAATACAATCCTGTTTCGATGTGAGAAGAATCGCATGTCGCATAAGCCCAACAGCCTCTTCAACATCATCCTTCTCTGCGAAATACTCAGATCGTCGGTAAAGACAGTTCGCAAGATTGTGTAATCTTGCGGCGAAGTGTGGACTTCTATCAGTTGTAGCTATGCGAACTCGACGTGCGATACGTGTTGCTTCCTCAAGCACATACAACTGTCCCGTAAATTCAAATCGCCGTAAGAGAAGAGCTCCTACACACTGTAGGGCGTCCAATTGCTGTGATGAAGCTTCAGGCGTAATCTCGACAAGTCTTCGCGCTACTTGGAGTTCCTCGTCCAGGTCCTCCGGCCTTCTCGAGTATTCAGATCGGAGAGCAAGCTTGTTCATCAAATTTTGCACTAGTAGAGCATATTGTCGGTGGTTGGTGGGAGCACTATCCATGGCTTGGCGAGCAAAGTCGATGGCTTCGTCCAGAGTCTGCAGGTTACCCGTTTCCTTGTACAAACGACTGAGTTTGTTCCCCAAGTTACTCAATGTAGAAGGTCGCTCAATATGGCATAGAGGTACGCCACGGACTGCACGTCGACTGAGATGTATGGCATCCTCTAGGTCGCTAATTTGTCGGGTCTCGTCATATCGGCGACCAAGCATGTTTGCCAGGTTATTCAATTGAATGTGGAGTACTCGGTCATCCCCCAAAGTGTCGTCTATGGAAAGTTTTCCCTTCGTAATTGCATCGTCCAAGTCTTCTATCCGGCCTGAGCGCTCGAAGAGGGCGACTTTCAACATCGCATAATGTCCACATAGTGTTGATCGAGAGCGGGTATCTTGTGGTGATAAGGCAGTAAACAAAACATCGAAACTCTCAAGCAATGTCGAATTAAAGATATCCATAACGCTGGATGGCAAGTAGGAATATCGAATGCATTGAGTAACGTCGAAATCTCCAGGTAAAGGGATGTATTAATAACAAAATCGTTCATGCGACCTGTCGTGACCTTCCAAGTTCAGTTTAGTCTGAGGCTGTGGTTAGCCTAAATCGCGGTCCAGGCAGAGACAGGAGATGAAACACGGCGTGGAGCCTGCAGTGACCTTTCACTCTAAACCTTACATTCAAAAATTGCGAACAAACGATTTCTCCGAATACCACGTCAAACGCTTCAGCGAAACATTCGAAATATACCAGGTTACACATAGGTCACATGAAGGTGTCACATGAAGGTGTCACTGCAACGCAGCCTGAAGGCGGCGCCGCAGCAACCTTGGGCATCCCGTATAGCCGCTTGGCTAAGGTGGCTGAGCTACTGATAATATGTGTTTCCAGGGGGGTGCAGGTGGCTTGATGCCTTGTACGACAAAGTTTTGCATGTATAAATTGACCGTACCACAACCTTTTTTCGCATCAGCAACCTAGTCCCTTATCTGACACGAGGTGATCGCTCATCTTTTTAGCCATGGCGGCAAATAAACTACTTTCTCAGCTATTCCTTCCCATGTCGTCAGTCAGCCTCGGACGCTTTGTCGTTAGCATAGAAAACCCCCATCAAGATTTCCACGATCCTGTCGATTTCACCTCTCTCGAGATTGCCGAAAAACTACAGAGGAATTTTACCGGCACCTACACCTCCGTACGCCACCACGACGCTTCGGCAGAAATTGCGACCCTCCTCTCTGCTTCGTTTTCGAAGCGGCTAAAGACCTTAGTACAAATAACAACCGTTCAAGCAAAGACGTACTATCTCAATAATGTCGGAGAATGGTTTCAGAATGCAGTTCGATCTCGAGATACTCAGAGATGGATTGAAAGGGTCATTGACGAGGGCGAGGACATATATGTGATTGTGGCCTATCACACACTGCTCGATGCTCATATCCGAGAGTCATCCGGAGATTCAAGTGCAGATAGAGGCAGAGTCGGTATACCAATTTCGACAGCATTGAGTGCCTCAGGCGTGTGCATGCCATTCGTTGTGGGAGATCCCGGACTTGGTGGCTCGTGGGGTGGTGTAGTAAACGAGCAAGGATCTTGGGTTGCTCCGGGTGAGCAAGTGCATGCAGTGCAGTATCGGAAGGTCCGCTGGGACTGGTTTTCGCGTAAAAGAGTGGAAGAGATGAAGTTAGCAAAGAGACCATTCTGGGAACGATATGATCGATTCAGAAGTGCAGAAGACGAGGTAGAAGGCGAGGTGGAAGACATGATAGAGGTGGACTTGGAAGACGAACTAAGAGGAGAGTGTAACGATTTCACCATGAAATTTGGCCCTCCCAGCGACATACCATGTTAGACACCGCGCTTTTTTGCAATTAGTAGTGTACATGACTCTTGGATCGCATCAGAATGGGCTGCCGCATATTCTTCAGGCACTATCATTGTCCCAGCACAGTTTGGTCAAGTCAAGATCAGATAAGCTTTGTGGACTGACGACTGAGTTTGAACACTGGCGGATACTGCCTTGTTATCGAGTGACACCATCAGCTTAGTGTCTCGCAAAGCGAGGCTCAACTGATCTCATGCAGAGCTTGGTTGTAGCTAAGAGCAAGCTCTGGTTACACCATGCTGAGTTGGCATTGTACAACCGGAAATATTATGTACTGTTCAAAGTCATATCGATATACGAATCTACTAGAAACCCCCTATCGCAGGTGAATCGTCATGCATGTAGCTATTACGGAACCATCTCCCGCCATTCTGCCTCTACCTTTCCATGTGAAGTTCGACTCAAGTAGCCTTGTATACTTCAGACTACCTGTTGGCAACGGATTACTTTGGAAGACCTAGAAAGCAGACCTCTGCCGGTAAGGGAGCATGATAAGAATTGCGGTTAAAGGGTCAAGAAGGCTAAATTCAGTTCAGCCCACAGCCTTCAACTTGTGGTGGCTGTGTAGCACTTTTGTTGCAAAACAAATACAACGTGATTCACAAGCGAGTCGCCTACCTAAGCAAGTCGCCTACTTTTGTAACATTTCATCGTGCAAGATCTATCTGGGGATGACAACTAACTCGGATCTGAATCGGATCCGAGTCAAATGGGTACCCGGGACATAAGAGGTGACTTCTCTCGCACCTCTGTTCTGTAGAGTTTTGATATCCTTTCGTACCAAGCTTATGAGTGTCTATCAAATCTAAGGTGTTTCTGCTGTCACACACACTCCCATATGCCTCTGAGTGACACTACTGCCGATACTGATCCGACTAGTCTTGCCTGCGCCGTTATAATAACGCGTTATAGTGTCGTCGTCGACGCGCTGGTGGGGCATGGGCCATTTGCTTGGGTGGGCCATTCGCTTGTGGACCACATTAAGCTATAAAATCCCGAGTAATTTAATATGTGTCCCTTCACAGATCTAGACAAGTTCTAAAAAAGACATGATTTGCCTTCAATGTCCCTAACTCTGCCAATAAGTTACATTTTAGGCTAGACGTTCTCTAGAGTATATTCCTATTACACGGAGTTTGGCTATACTTCTCTATAACAGGCTAGTTCCCTTTGGTCTTACTCCTTGATGGGATCTTGTGTCGTTTCACAGAACCCAAGTGCTCAGAACAGCACTCGGATTCTGCTCATACTATCTGAACGACGCTCAGACGCCAGACCTGGTCAATCCGATCGTTACTTGGGCAACTGATATTGTATATAGATAGCTACGTAAGTAAGAGCTAAACTCTATCGAATACAATCTCTTATATACCCAGGCTTTTGCTCTACAGAGCGCAGCCCATGACATTCTCTAAGACTCGATCCGAGTTAGGGCGAATCAGCAGGTCAACGGTAAGCCGTGTGGTTGCCGAGAAATTTAGATGGGAAAGAGTTGTGGATGTTTAACCGATAGTAAAGACAACCAATTCTATTTAGGATAGAATAACAAAGTGTTAATCGTGTTGATTAACAAACTTGTAAGAAAGTACAGTCTAATAAGTTAACCACAACGAGTGTAATAATGAAACCCAACGTGTTCTTATACTCATTGCCTTTAGTCCCGACATCTGTGTCCTCTTGCCATTCCGTGGCATCTCAAGATGTAGTGGCATCTCTCCTCTTGGCGGGATGTCAGTGCTTGGCGAGATGCCAATCACGTGATCGCTTCTGTCCCGCGGCGATCCCTATCGTGCATCCCAAGTGGTTTCTCAACCCTTTGTCGTCAGCGTCCGGGGAGAGTATCTTTTCTCTTGTTGCTTGTAACAATTCCTAACCCTACCTCTAATAGTGTAGGTATGAGAGGAAGTAGCGAGGCCCTTATATAGCATTCAACTCCTTTGATTCTAGTGGAGCTAAGCGAAATAGCATCTTCAACGCAATGCGATCAAATCCCTAGAGGAAGGCTATTACCTACCTTCTATGTGCCAAAACTGCTGTAATATCTCGACAATTCAGTTTAGAGGGCTAACTTTCCTATTCTCCTTTAGATATCTAAAAAAAATTGGAATATCGCCTAAGTCAACGCAGAATGCGTGTACCTCGTGGCGACGAAACTTTCGTTGCGCAACCAAAAAAAGGAAAGCTCTCCAGCGGGGAATTGAAACGTTTCTGGAATGTGCAATGTAACGGTAACTTGTGTTTAAAGTAATTTAAGTGTCTCCTAGTATCATTATTTAAGGGGAATATACATATATTAAGCCATTATGTAATTTTAAGGCATCTATAAGTTATTCTATATATCTAACTTTCTTGTGAGGCAGTAATCTTCTAATTTATTATAGGAAACAACGAACGGCTTGTTACATAAGCACTACAATCACTAGGGCTGTAGGAAGGTGCTTTATTTTAATCTATAGAGATGACAAGGATTCTAGATCATCAATGCTCATGAGCGCCGGCAAGGGTAGAGCAGTGATATGATAGTAGCTGTTTTTAGTCAGGTACTGCGCTCAATAAGGCTGCATGCTGTCCTGTCATCGATAATGACCCTTATATTTCTTCGTAATGCCATTCAGTGCGGACGTCTAGAGCAAGGTCATGTTCAGTGCGGCTCGGCCATTCTGCTTACTTCTGATGGCGAAACTAAGTACTGCTACGCAAAGCTGACCGTTAAGCATCACCTGTCAACTTTGTAATGTTTAATCTATTTAATTGATATATTACTGAGCAACATATTCGCTTTAAATCGACCGCATGCGGCAAAGAGGTGAAGCGAACTATCTGTTTGATCTCTAAAAAACAAAGATGGCGCCCTTCTCGCGCAGCAGTTTCACAATCTGCTCGTAACCTTCTAACGATGCTGCCATAAGTGCGTTCCCATACTCTTCACCCTACATGTTAACGCCGGCGCCAGCATTAAGCAGCAGTTTTACAATCTGCTCATAGCCTTCTGACGATGCTGCCTGGAGTGCACTACCACAGTATCCACCCTGCGCGTTGACGTCAGCGCCGATATTAAGTAGCAGCCTTACAATCTTCTCGTAGTCTCTGTCTGAAGCTGCGTGGAATGCACTACCATAACCTCCGCCCCAAGCGCTAACGTTGGCGCCGTCGTTAAGCAGTAGCGTTACTACCCTCCTATAGCCTCCAGCTGAAGCCGCTTGGAGTGCGTTGCCGTACTCTCCACCCTGAGCGTTAACGTCAGCACCAGCACTGAGCAGTATATGAGCGATTTTCTCGTGGCCTTCTAGTGACGCTGCCTGCAGCGCCCTGCCATATTCTCCGCCTTCTATATCAACGTCTGTCTTCTCCTCAAACAAGATAATATGAACGACCTGCTTTAGACCAAGATAGCTTGCTAGAGCCAAGTCTGACCAACCTTCATACCCTAGATACCTTTGTCCGAGATAGCCAGGTGCCCATATGCTTGCCTGATGCCCGGCTATCGCTTGGATTTTTCCTCTCTGTTTGCTATATAGCGTATCAGATCAATTATCTCATAAAAGAATGGCAGGCCACATCCCAACCTACTGAAATCGGCACAACGCGGTGTTAATATGTCAGATGTGCGCGAGGTACATGAAGAGACGATATACGTTAGTGCGAAAGCCAGTGCGAAAGACACACGGGTATCTCAGAGTGCAAGACATATTCATGAAGTGTGTGACGAAGCTCTGGTTGATAGTTACCTAACCAGATTTGTCTAACATCACGAGGGTGGCGGAGGAGCGACGTTGCCAATAAAATAGTGGTGCAGTTACCTTGGCGTCACCAAGCTACTGCGAAACAATAGTAGCTTCAAACTGGTAGGATACTTCTTTTCTTTTACATCATGCAAGAGCGAGAGATACCATCAAGTCCTGGAAGTGTAAAAATGGTTACACAAAGTCCCTAAGAGAAACTTGAATGATGGAATTTTCCGGACGTGAATTTTTGTGGAGTACATCGTCAAAAAGCTCCAATATAAGGGCCTGAGGGCGTTTCCAGAGTCATGTGGATAGAAGTTGTTCATCGTTATGGGTTTGCATAGTGTGGCTGTCTTTACAGTAGAGAGAGTGTTGGCTGGATCTGGAAACAAAAGTCCATTGAACAACGTCGCAATATCACGAACAATTTCGCCAATCTTGCACAATGCAAACTAAAGTGAAGGAAGGAACCGGCAAGACTTTGATTCGCTCTCTATAACATTACGATTATCTTGATTTTTTACAAGGCCGTATGTACACCGCTGCCCGAGCCCCGATTCACTTCTTATAGGAAGCATACTTGGCGCTTAAGCAGCAGTAAGGGTAGCCTGCCTAGAGCCAACCTGAGAGCAGGACATAGGGATAGGGCCGTTGCAGCCAACGTTGGCAGTGCCGGTTAAAGTGACGCTTATTACAGTTAGTATAACGACGCAAGGAGAAGAGCGGATTGGCGTACCTGTCCGAGACCTTATGGGTGACAGTGATGGCGTAGAGATCATAACCGGGACGGCTACTAATCTGGAAGGAGTATGTGGAGTCGGCACATGGGTACACGTTGGATGGGACAGATGGATCCGGGAAGCTGCTTGCGTTGCAGTTGACAGAGCCGGATGGAGTGGTCAGGCTGAGGCTAACGCTGGTAATAGTATCCCAGTTGTCGTTGGCGTTGCCATCTTGACGTACGAAGACAGCATTATTGATGGTAACTTGCTCGTCAGATGCGCGGCTTTCCATTGGGGCTGCAGCAGCGACGGCGGCAAGGGCAAGACCAGCAAATATTTGGGAACGCATTTTGGTTTGGATTAAGTGGGTTGGACGGCGTAGAAAGATTGAAGCGAGTGAAACGAGCGTTAGAATTGTGGTGACATACTCGACAGAAACCCTTGGATTCTTATATATCCCTTCTGGTACCCTTGAATTGCTAGTGGTTTGACATGACACCTACTCTGCGCAATGCCGAAGCGTTGGCTCGAGATACGACAGGCCTCGTATTAATTGAGGAATATTGTAGCCTGTGCACCTCCCCTGCAATGCTAGCTGCGCGCGTGTACGAAACGGGAATACAACTATACAATGTATTAATCGAATTCGCCAAAAGTCTTCGCTGTCTAAATCATTCTGCACGAGCTACTTGTTGAATTTCTAGCTGAGAGAGGATATCTCGAGACAGAAAAGCCGTCTCTTGGTCAGATTTTGGCGCACTGGTCATGTAATTCCTCACTGAAAAGCAAAACAAGATCCTTGGTGCAGGGATCAAGATGATCGCCGTCAAGCTTCGGCACGACAGAAATAGGTACAATGGCCGACAAGAGACCGCTTGTTTCTGGTGTTTCTAATAATACGTACCCCGAAAGCCGGCTACCGAAGCTATGATGTGCTATGGAAACCGCTTGTATGCCTGTTGCTTTACGAAGGGGCATTGATGTTGATGGAAACGTGGCAATGTAACGTCGACTCTGCTTGCCTATCGAAGAGCGCAGTCGCCCCGCATTTTCCTGGGCTAGCAAATCATGGTTACTTATTACCCGCGTTTTATACTTTCACACCCTGGCTGTCAATAGTAGCAAGCGGAGGTACCTGCGGAAAGGGTTCAGCCAAGACTAGTCACATCGCCAGCGGTGTCAATAGGAAGCCCAGCGATTGTTTTTTGGAGACTTGGTGGGTCAAAACTAACAGGCTAGATTACTGTGTAAGTATGAGGTGTAATAATTATAGCTTGAAGATTCCCATTGCCTCCCGACAGTGGCTAGCTTCTGTGGCTGACGAGCGACACCAATCGACGACTGTCGTTGAGCAGGGGGGTGAGCAGGCCAATCGACAGCTGTCGCTGGTCAGGGGGTCGAGCGACGGCCGTCGATTGGCCTGCTCGTCTGCCCCCCCTGCTCAGCGACAGCAGCTATCGCGCCAAACTAACACCAGTACTTAGCGAAGACGATAGAACAACTTGATGATGAAAAGTTTGGCTATGAAGGACTGGTTTGCTCAATCTCAATATATGAAGCGGAGATATTCAGCCATCCGTATAACTTTTCAAGACTCAGTAACAAACCACTTTATAAAATCTTGCTAACGCAGTGACTTTGCCGACTCTTACCAGACCCCCTCAGTTGCGGCTGCGGTAGCAAAACATGTGGTTAGATTCAGTGTTCTAACTAATGTCGCAGCTTAGTGAAGCGGGCAAATGACACTGGGTCAGTATCAATGCGCTGAAGACTCCTGGCGTCTTGACACTCCATGGTCCTACATAAGTACTGTGATAGCTACTCGGCTGCTATTAAATAGAGTAAACCTTAGAACAATTTCCTAAGCTTCGATCAATCTCTGGAATAAAAAATCCCAGCTCTGTACGTTGGCGGTCTATAACCCTAAGCAGTTTCAGATCAAAAAGTCGATTAATCCGACTTCCACCATACTACCAAAGATAGTCGATTCAATATTCACAGCAGTTGGGTGAAATAAATAGCATACTGAATGCGTGTTCCGCACCCAACGTGAGCCCAGCACCACCGCTTCTCAAAGTCCTACTAGTAGTAATCCAACCGAGTCAGGACCGCTTCTTGTCTCCACCACGCCCACTAACCCACCACAACGCAAAAAAAGTTTCCAACAAAAAAGTGAACTCTCCAGCGGGGAATTGAACCTAAGATGGGTGTTAATAAGCGAAGATCTTATGAGATAATCTCGAAGTACTTACCCCGGTCTCCCGCGATCTGTCAGTTGCTTGACAAGCGGAAATACTGACCACTATACTACTGAAGATGACTAACAGGATTTTGTTGACCCAATTGATAATGTGTAATCTTAAGACCTTGATGCTATCGTAAGAGCACCGATCATCGCATTATTTTCGCTAGTGTTAGATTATCTTCCCCACATCGTAGTGGAACAGTTGATGTGGGATCGCTGGCTAGAAAGTCTATGGTGCATGTGGATTTGTGCTTTACTTGATTGAACAGCAGAAAATGGCATGGAAAGACATTAGATGAAGAGCTTGGCCCTCTGTTGAAGTTCATTGGGCATGCCTTGGTCACAGGAGTAGGTGAGCTGTTCGCGACGTCTGATCGGCACTCATATCAGGTCCCATAAGCACATGAAAATGTTACTCCAGCTCAGTCTCAGAGGATATTTTCGAGTGTGAGCTTCTGTAGTGCCCTTCTGCCTTGAAAAGAACCTTCAAGATGCTCCACAAGATAGTTTTTTGAATGCGCACTATGTCATTGAATGAGCTAATCGGCCGCATGTCCCCCATTGTACTGCCCCGTCTCACGCGATGTCTCTACTACATTATTTATCCTTAATTGTCGACCCCACAAAACACTCTGTCGAGCACACATGCCACTGCTGCTGCGTTCTTGGAACCGTTGTTCCAAGCCTCCACGTGCAACATCCAAATTAATATTAACAACTCCAACGTAATACCAAAGAAGCTTAGTTTAAGCTTTCACCAACCTGCATCCGCCCCACATGCCATAGTGCGCCTGTTATGCGCTAACCCCGCACTGCACCCCAGCTTTACGGCTCTTGACTTCATCTACCGGAGTATTGACTACTTGGCGAAAACGTTCCAATCACCAAGGCTACGCACCTTCACGACTCAGGAAGTAATGAACAGGTTCTATGGAAAAGTTGGTCATACGATGCTGTAGCCCCTTGGGTGCCATCACAGTGAGACCTTTGAGATATATTCGGATTGTACGGCCCGTTGGATATTCAGCCTAGTGACTGAGAGCTCCACCCAAAGAGTGCGTTTGATGAATTGTACCAAGAAACTTTCATAATAGCTCGTTCAGAGGTGTGTTGGCATGAGAAAAGAGTATGGCCTGGGAACATATTTAAGACATGAACGTTCCGCTCTACAAATCCAGTCATTACCGGTTGCAAGCGCTCAGTCTCAACGAAAAACCTTTCAGCCATGTCTTTTGTTTCTGCCTCAGCGGCAGTTCTGGCCCTCTGTGCTCATAGCGTATCCGGATGGGTCATCGGAACCCAACAGACAGAGACGCACCCAAAAATCACATGGCAGCGTTGCACTGGCACAGGCGGAACATCCTGCAGTAACGTGAATGGAGAAATTGTCATTGATGCCAACTGGCGTTGGCTCCATTCAACCGGGGGCTACACGAACTGTTACACCGGTAACGAGTGGAACAAGACAGCCTGCCCTGACAATGCAGCATGCACCAAGAACTGCGCGATTGAAGGCTCCGATTACCGTGGAACCTATGGTATCTCGACTTCGGGAAACTCCCTCAGTCTCAAGTTCATCACAAAGGGCCAGTACTCGACAAACATTGGGTCCCGTACCTATCTGATGAAGGATACCAACAACTATGAAGTAAGCCCCCTTTCACTAAACCATGAATCCAGAAGACTTTCTGACTTTGAAATTCCCACCCTTTAGATGTTCCAACTTATCGGTAACGAATTCACTTTCGACGTCGATCTCTCACAGTTGCCATGCGGTCTGAATGGCGCTCTGTACTTTGTATCCATGCCTCAGAAGGGTCAGGGGACACCGGGTGCTAAATACGGAACAGGTAGAGAGTACAAAGTTACAAGATGTGCACAAGTCACTTACAACCCACAGGATACTGCGATGCGCAGTGCGCACGAGACTTGAAGTACGTTGATGGCCAAGCCAACGCCGAAGGCTGGACGGCCTCGTCATCCGACCCCAACGCAGGCATCGGCAAAAAGGGCGCATGCTGGTATGTTTACTGCCCCCCCCCCCTCCTGGCAGCCATGGCTAACAAAACCGCAGTGCCGAGATGGACGTTTGGGAGGCAAACTCCATGGCTACAGCCCTGACCCCACATTCCTGCCAGCCCGAAGGCTATTCCGTCTGTGTAGACGACAAGTGCGGCGGTACCTACTCGCTCGATCGCTACGCCGGTACCTGCGACGCCAACGGCTGCGACTTCAACCCCTATCGCGTTGGAGTGACGGACTTTTACGGCCGGGGCAAGACCGTCGATACCACCAAGAAGATGACAGTCGTAACGCAGTTCCTGGGCTCTGGCAACAAACTCACCGAACTCAAGCGCTTCTATGTACAAAACGGTAAAGTCTTTGCTAACCCCGAGCCTACTGTTCCCGGCATGGTGAGTCGCTACATTCGGAAAAAAAAGAGGATGCATCAGGCTGATAGATGAATAGACAGGAAATTCAATCACTCAGCAGTGGTGCGACACGCAACAACAAGTCTTCCAAGAAGAAGTCTATCCCTTCAACAAATGGGGTGGCATGGACTCGATGGGTAAGGGTATGGCGCTAGGCATGGTCCTGGTCATGTCGCTCTGGGATGACCACTACGCCAACATGCTCTGGCTCGATGGCAACTACCCAGTCGACGCAGACCCAGCGAAGCCCGGTGTGGCGCGCGGCGCATGCGAAGCCGGCAGCGGTGTGCCTGCTGATGTGGAAGCCAGCAATCCTAATGCTCAGGTTGTATTTTCCAACATCAAGTTTGGCCCGATTGGAAGTACGTTTGCGCAGCCTAAGTAAGGCTTGAAAAGAAAGGGGTGGTTTTGGGGGGTGGCGGGAAAAGCAGCCACGTAGATGCCTTTCTACAGTGGCGCTCGAAGTTGCTGGTGTACGTATGCAAAGTCTGGTCATGCCACCAGCGTTCTCTCGTTTGTGGCTCAGCTGGATTTCCCACGTTGTTGGGGTCACGTTCGCTTACATTTTTTTCCTTCTGATTTGTGATTCGTTAAGGAGAATAAATTGCTGGCAGTATTACAATCATCGTTCTGGGCCACATGGCAAGTGACGCATCATGTTTCATGCGCTGTTCAGAAGTCGTTTGCTGCCTTGTTCCTTTAACACGTTCTCTTATCCCCCCCTCACAGCTACATCATGCCTGCGTTTGGACTGACATGAACAACACACCTCTCTAACTCAACAAACACAACCGCCTTGACCCAAAACATTCGCGCCTCTATCTCTTATAAACGATATCTCGCCCAGAAACTTTGACATCCAGCACTCCAAATCCTACAACTCCCGCACACACGCACGTACCGATATCTCCCCGAACATCGATTTACCTAACCAATACCATTCAGTGAACACTTCCGCGATGCTCGAAAACCACACTCCCGATGCAGATCGCTGCTGGCTGCCTTGTCCAGGCGATGACCTGGAAGAAGATCAGTGCGACTGCTGTTCTTGCAATGGGCACCAATGAGATACGGAAATGGAGATATGTGAAATTTTATTCGAGAGCAACTTGAACTCTAGGATGTTTTGGAGAAGAAAAAAATAGAGCAATCAATGTGGATAGATCATGCATGGTCCTATAATGTTTCACTCTTGGTCTATATTTCTGAGTCCACTCGTCATAGCTACAACTATCCAATACTCATGACTCTGGGACTTCATCAGCCCATGGGATACTCGACTGCGCGCCCTCTCTCTGCACAGTCATTGAAGCAGCTCTATTTGCTTGTGCGATGGCAGCGTCAAGGTCGAAGTCAGCACCCTTTGACATAACTTTCCAGCGAGCTACAGCAACAGTATAAGCACCGGCAAAAGTGTCTCCAGCAGCCGTTGTGTCAACAACTTGAACCTTGCGAGCTGGCACAATGACACCTTGCTGAGACGAAGCCTGCTGTTTTGCTGTTTTGTAAAAGACACCCTGTTACATCCCGTAAGTAAAATCTCGCCATCAACCCACAAAGACGAGATAAAAAACACTCACCTCTCCCCCAAGAGTAATAATCACATTCTTCACACCCCTCGCAATGAAAATTCCCGCAACCTCATCCCAATTATCTGGCTTTTCAATCCCACTCAAAATCGCAGCTTCCGTCTCATTTACAATGAGATGCCCCAATCCCTGATACGCTTCCATCGGCAATGGAATCGCAGGCGCAGGATTGATAATAGTCTCAACCCCCTTCTTGCGTGCTACAGTCATATTATGCAGCACAACCTGCAACGGTAACTCGAGCTGGAATAAGGCAACACTTGCATCGTCATCCACCAGATCCTTGACAGGTACATCGCCATTCGCACCAGGGTTAAACATGATGCGATTCTCCCCTGTACCCGTCTCAACCACAATGACAGCTACACCCGTCTTCTTTCCGGGGAGAATCTCCACTTTGTCAGTGTTGAGACCGTCGTCTCGCAGTGCTTTTAGAAACGACTGGTGAAATTCATCTTGGCCGACTGCACCGACCATACGCACCTCGACGTCGGAGGCTTGCGAGGCAGCGACTTGCGCTTTTATGCGTGAGAGACGGGCGCAGGCGACGGCTTGATTTGCGCCTTTGCCGCCCCAGCCGATATTGAAGGATTCGCTGGCGAGGGTTTCGCCTGCGACGGGGACGCGGTGGGTGCGTGTGACGAGATCGACATTGAGAGAGCCGATTACAGAGATTACGGCTTGTGTAGAAGACATTGTTGCAATTGGGCGTTTTTATGGTTGGGCGGTGGTGGCGATGACGTTGGTAGGATGTGTGATGAGGCTCTTCGGGCCACTTGTGGAGGGCGCTATCTTAGGTAGGCTAGCCGAGCCCATGGGGAACTGGACTTTGTATTTAGGTTTACTATTGCATCAGGACACGTTGAATACATGTTGGGAATGTGATTTCACTTTGAGAAGTGTTGAAACGGTAGGAATTGAACATTGAACGTGGAATCATATGGTATCTCATTACTGGCGTTGTAGTAGTCCGCGCAAAAATTACTTGCTGCGCTTGTAGATCTTTTGGAGGAAAGCCTCGAAGATGTCCTTCTTCAGGCCCTCGCTCTCATCAACCTGGGCAATCTTGGCCCTCAGATCGGCGACGCGCTCCTCCTCCCACTGCTCGTAGTACTCCTTGAGCTTAAGCTCGTGGTACAGCTCCTTGACCTTGGCCTCGTTCTGAGAATTCTTCCGGCCATAGTTCTCATCGAGAAGCTTCCTTTGCTCGGGATTGGCCTTCTTTAAGGCCTGGTTGACGAGCCATGAACATTTGTTGTCCATGATGTCGGTTCCAATCTTGCCAAGAACCGAGGGGTCAGCGAAAGCATCGAGGTAGTCATCTTGAGCTTGGAAGTATTCTCCCATTGGGATCAGAATGTCCTCGGCAGTCTTCAGGTTCTTTGCTGTGGCGGCGCCAGCGTGATAGAGAGCCAGGGCAACGGGGAGGTAGAAGGAGTAGTAAGCAGTCTTGTAAATGACAATAAAGGTGAACTTTTCGAGGCTGAAGTTGTCGAGGTTGACATCATCCTCTGGAGCAGTGAGGAGATCGCAAAGCTGACCACACTCTGTCTGGAAGGTGACCTCGTGGAACAGCTCGACAATGTCAACGTAGCTCTTCTCTTGTCGGAAGTGCTTCTTGAGCAGTATGAAAATGGAAGATTCGAGCATGAAAGCATCGTTGATGGCAATCATGCCAACCTTGGGCACGAGATACCAGCAAGGGCCTCCACGACGCGTCTTGGAAGAGTCCATGATGTCGTCAGTGACGAGGAAAAAGGCTTGAAGAAGCTCAATCAGCCATCCTAGAAGAGCGGCGCGGAAGTACTCTTCAGAAGAGGGGTCGAGAGTCTTGCCCTGAAGGATGGACGTCGTGTCAATGACGGACCTTCCCCGGTTGCATTTTCCGCCGACTGTGTTGTAATCGAGCGACTGTTTGGTTTGGCGTGGTGAGCATCATGGACCCTGAATATGCTCGCTGTGTGGTGGGGCAGGACGTACCTTTGTGAACCAATCAAGAGACTGCTGGGGCAGCTTGTATTGTTTGCAATGGTCCTGGAGGTCCGCGACAATGCGTGGCCATACGCTCTCGAACTCGGCTACTGTGGTTGGCATTTTGATGGTTGAAGGTTGCTTACGGATTCAAGATGAGAGGGACAGCAGTAAGTGAGTGTTGATGGGAGCGGTGTCTAGTTGTAGTTTGCGAGTCTGCCGGCAAAAGGTTAAGCCGGGCAATTGGTTGCTGCCCCACCGCGACGTACCCTATACAGGCAGCTCGACAACAACGCGTGCATCGGTCTCCGAAACTCTGCCCAGTGACCGTAATCACCGTGTTGTATATAGAAGCATTGGGTCCAAGTCAGCGATACCCTGTTTTCGTCTGGATCCGTCATGGGCACCTTATCGCAGGCTGACGAGGCCCAGCTCAAGGCCCAGCTCCAGGACGCCGTCATTAGCTGCACCGAGCGCTGCCTCTACCACTCAGCCAAATGGTGCGTACTGGCCTTGGGTGATGTCTGGCGGGCGCGTGTATACTGATGTTGACAAGGGCTGCAGAACTGCTCGACTCTCTCCCATCGCCTGACGACGATGATGGCTCAGACACGGATGTCGACTCGCCCATGTCTGACGCGCACCCGCCACCAACACCAGCACCTGTGCCCAAAGACGCTACTGAAGCCCGCCTAGAAGCCCGTGAGGCACACAAGTTCCTCCTCGCAAAAACGTACTTTGACTGTCGCGAATACGATCGATGTGCCGCCGTCTTTCTCCCGGGACCCTTGCCCAAGGGCGCGTCGCATCCTTCGTCGACCCCAACGTCAAAGGCCAAGTCGGCCAAGGGAAAGGCCACCATGTTTACGCCAACAAAGGGAAAGCTTTCCAATGATACGGTCAAGGGAATCAGCCAGAAATCACTCTTCCTGGCCCTGTATGCTAAGTACATTGCGGGTGAGAAGCGCATGAACGAGGATAGCGAGATGATACTGGGCCCCCAAGATGGAGGCGTCACCATGAACAAAGAGTTGCCAGTTGTTTCCGCTGTCCTGGACGAGTGGTTCAGAGATCTCCCCGACAGTGGGCGACAACCGCAAGGCTGGCTCGAGTATCTGTACGGCATGGTGCTGGCCAAAGGAAAGAACGAGCAGCTCGCCATTGACTATCTGGTCAAGAGTCTTCATCAATATACGTACAATTGGGGCGCATGGCAAGAGTTGCAGGCACTACTCAGCACTACCGAAGATCTCAACCGAATCGTCGCGCGTCTACCCCAAAATCTCATGACCTTCATTTTCCATGTCACATCCTCGCAAGAGCTATACGTTGTCAGCGAGCAGATACACTCGTCACTATCGCAGATTCTCACCATTTTTCCCACTTCGGCCTTTCTCAAGACTCAACGCGCTCTACTCCACTACCACAACAAGGACTTTGATGATGCCGAACAGATCTTCTCTGACCTCCTCATCTCCGATCCCCACCGGGTGGACCATTTAGACAACTATTCCAACATACTTTACGTCATGGGCATGCGACCCAAACTTGCATTCTTAGCGCAGCTGGCCACTTCCACGGACAAGTTTCGTCCAGAGACGTGTTGTGTGGTGGGCAACTACTATTCACTCAAATCCGAGCACGAAAAGGCCGTCATGTACTTTCGAAGAGCTCTGACACTTGATCGCACCTTTTTGTCAGCATGGACATTGATGGGTCACGAGTTCGTTGAAATGAAGAACACCCATGCCGCCATTGAGTCGTACCGGCGGGCTGTCGATGTCAACCGCAAAGATTATCGTGCATGGTACGGTTTGGGACAAACGTACGAAGTGCTGGAAATGCATTCGTATGCGCTCTTTTACCACCAACGCGCCGCTGCGTTACGGCCGTACGATCCAAAGCTCTGGATGGCTGTTGGACAATGTTTTGGCAAAGTCGGCAAGGTCATGAATGGAATACGGTCCTACAAACGTGCATTGGTAGCTGGCTCCTACTATGATGCAGGCGTCGGTACATCGTTTGGTAGTGGCGAAGTCTCTGGACTTGCCGGAGGCGTCTTGGATCCCGACGTGCTCTACCAAATTGCCCTGCTGTACGAGCGTATAAATAACATGAACGAATGCGCAGCATATATGGAGCTGGTCCTTGCCCAGGAAGAAGGCCCCGATTTTGAAGAAGCTGGGATGGAGGGTGCAGGCGGTGTTGGTGTAACTGCTACGACAAGCAAGGCTAGGCTGTGGCTCGCACGTTGGGAGTATATGCGTGGCATGTACCAAAGGGCAATGGAGCTTGCAAACGAACTTTGCCAAGACGGTGTGGAAGTCGAGGATGCAAAAGCACTTGTACGAGACATCAGGGCACGCATGGAACGAGCAGGGGAAGAAGAAGAAGCAGATTAAAAAGCATCTAGTGTGTAGGGATTAATTGAGCATTTGCAGGCGTCCAGGTATGATACCCAACCAAAAAAAAACATTTCTCAGAATTTTATCCTAATGTCCTGACACATTACTATTATCCACTTCGATGTTGAACTTTACAAAACATGTGGTTTGTTGACATACCAGGGAGAACGACATTTCCTGGAATTGGACCTGCATGTAACGTTGGTGGTACATACAACTGTGGGGCTTGGAAATAGATAGTACTGAGACATAATTGAGTTCTATCCGTCTGATTCGTTATTACCCCACTGTCCGTGAGGGCTGTACTCTGCCGATATTACGTAGCTCTAGAAAAAAAGCACACCAAAAGACTTGCGGGGGAACTTTTTGTATGGCCCGCAGTCAATTAGTGAAAAAGCCCCAAAAGTCCTCTGACATGTTGACTGGTCAAGAGTTCCGACTAACTATAACGTCTTCGGTCTTAAGTGCCGTATCCTATCAGACCCCTTACGTCTCGTTACTCTATACCAAGGGAGCATAAAGATTACTGAATTGCCTCCACTTCATAATTCTTATCATGGTATCGGCTCTCAACGCAGGCACTGCAGAACCAAGGGAAAAAGGCTCACTACACTAAGATTCAGTGAGTAAATTCGCCCACTAAAACCCCGTCAACCACCAATCACTTACTTTTCATCCACAATACACCCTGTAGTATGATGTACATTCAGACGTAGCAGTATACACATACGAGCCCCGCTTCGAAAAAGAAACACCTAGCCGCTCCGACAAAAAGAGAAAAAAGCAAATCCTCGAGCTCAAAGGAAAGCGGGCATAACCGCGCCCATATTCCCTTTCCAGCAACACCGTCAAAAAAAACACCCCCCCCCCCCCCCCCCACAACTGCAGAGAATTCCCCGGCCCCGGCGCCGGATGTATCCTTCGACCACGAGAAGAAGAAAAAAGCGTCTCCCTCTCCCCCCTTCTGTTCCAATCCAAAGAAGAACGTTCTAATCTAAATCATAAGCCTACGCAAATCCCACAGTCCCATATCCCCAGCATAGTAGTAGTCTCTATTCGAAAATCGGTCCCATGGAAACAAGCATCGCTCGGGATGCCGAATGCTCCACCTTGGCGCCAAACGCATTGCTAACGGCCCGTTCCTACGAAGCAAGGATGATTATGCACACGCTTATGCGGGTATTGAGGGGAGGGGGGGTAAACGCGGCGTGTTGATGTGCATGCTGCGGGGTATGATGGTTGCTTTTTTTTTTCTATTTCGCTAAGGTGGGAGGGAGGTCAAGTGCTTTATGCACACAATGGAACGTTCAAGTGTGTATGTGAGGTTGAGGATTGGCGGGTTGGTTGGGGAGGTTAGTGATGATATCGAGGGATGGGGATATCTAGAATGTGCTGGGAGGGGGGGGGGGGATATTGGATTGCGATGTCACAGAAAAGACCCTATACAAACGGGTAAGCGGTAACATGCATGCTTAGTTGACGCAAGCTTTTGTTTTTGAATGGATAATTTGCCCTGCAGACGCCACGCTGTGAGCTTTGTCCTTTTTTTTTCGAGATTATGTGTTTGTTTGTGAGACGAGGAATAGAAGGAAAGTGTGGTTACACAAGATCTGGCTGGCTGGACTTTTTGTTCGCTTACCTGCGGTATTGGGTATTAGTATGAATGTGTTCTTTTGCTGGGTTCACCGGAAGGCACTTTCAGGCAATCGGATCATTTTAACCAAGCGTGGTACATGTGTGTGACGTTATCGATGAGGGTCCGGAATGCATGTCAGGTTGTTGTTTTTGCAAGGGTCCATGAATGGTGCGTAAGAGGCATGTAAAGGCGTCCGTTTGCCTGGTACAGTGGAAGACAGGGTCTATACATCGATTTGTGATCTGCTGTGAGATGTCTGGACCACCAAGATTTGCTGAAGTGAACCGAAAAACAACATTTGCTATGTGGTTCCGAATGACTTGACCGATGAGATCAACACCAACATCAACTTGCCACCTTCTTTCCAGGCAGTAGACCCTGATACAGTTCACAAGTCGGTATCAAGCGGCTATACAGGCCCTCCACCACGTAATCTAGACCATCATTATGCAGATGTATCATGTAGTAATCGACCGAGTCTTTTCACCGCCTCTTGCCACCACTACCGGAACGAGATGGTAGTGGTGGATGCCATAGAGCTGCACATTGCATATCCTGTATTTGTTGATTCTGAAGTTACCGATGACGAATAAAGGCAAGATGAAAATAAAAGCCCAGCATACATGTCTTGTAGAGAGTCAAAGCAATATAAATACTTGTCAAGCAGTCACTGTAAAGAGACACAAGCAACATTTCCAGCCCTCACATCTTTACTACCAACCCACTTTTCTCCTGATACATTCAAGTCAGTTTCACCATTCGCAGTTTCCCATACATCTTCTAATCCCAATATACTCAGACCAACAAACAATCAACCAACCATGGGTTCCATGCCAATCGCCATGCGCACCTGGCTCTCAGTCGAGTCCTGGGGCCCCGACCGCCTCGACGTCGTCGGCATCGGCAAGGACGACCAAATGTACCGCAAGCGATTCGACCGGAGCCAGGACGGATGGAAGCCGTCTATCGATGGCGCATGGGAGCCACTCACCGGCAAATTCATGCAAATCCCCGGGGCCATCTCGTGGAGCCACGGCCGGCTCGACATCTTCGGTATCGGGCTGGACAGACACTTGTACCGCAAGACGTGGGGCAACCACCGCAAGACCGGTGGATCGTGGATCAACAGCGACTGGCAGCGTACCGGCGGCGAGTTCAAGAGCCAGCCTGTGCCTGTGTCTTGGGGCAATGGACGCATCGACATCTTTGCCATTGGCATGGACGACCAGATGTACCGCAAGGTGTATGGCGGCAAGTGGGAGCCAGATGGCTGGGAGGCGCTGACGGGCAAGTTCAAGAGCCCCCCAGCAGCCGTCTCGTGGGGTAGCGACAGACTTGATGTTTTTGGTATCGGAATGGACAACCAGATGTACCACCGGGCGTTTGAGAACAACGCATGGACTACGTCTGGCTGGACTGGAATGAGTGGTACTTTCAAGAGCCCGCCGGCTGTTGTCTCGTGGGCCCCAGGCAGGCTGGATGTCTTTGGCATTGGCATGGACGACCAGATGTACCACAAGGCGTTTGACAAGGGTAAGTGGTTGAGCGACTGGAAGGGAGTGGGTGGAAAGTTCAAGAGCACTCCCGCGGTTGTCTCGTGGGGCCCAGGCAGGCTGGATGCCTTTGGTGTCGGCCTGGATGACCAGATGTACTACAAGGCGTTTGACAACGGCCAATGGCAGGGTGACTGGAAGGGAATGACGGGCAAGTTCAAGAGTGCTCCAGTTGCCGTCTCGTGGGGCACTGGACGTATCGATGTCTTCTGTATCGGACTCGACGATTCAGTTTACCAGCAGTACTACACTGGCGGCAAGTGGTCTGGCACTTGGGGCACTTTGGGCGGAAAGTTCAAGACTTTCTAGATGAGCGACATGGCGCATATGCAACGTTGATCCTTGCTAGAAGATGTGTACGAGCCTTAGCATAGTGCTCTTTTTTCTTGTCCACACTGCAAGAATTGTTTGATGATCAATGAAATACATGACCTCTGTCCCCCGTATCCAGCACCCACCTCCTCTCCCCCTCCCCCTCCCCCTCAACCCTATACGACCTCACCTCTGCCAACCCAAACCGCCTCCCGCCCACCAACCCCTCCTTGAACCCCCTATGCGTAACCAAAAAAACATTCTCATACCCCTCCCTTTCCACCATCTCGCCCACCCGTCTCCTCACCCTCTCCGCCCTCTGCCCCACCCCACTCTCTTCCTCCTCCGCATAATCCCCATCCTCACTACACCCCGAGAAATCAAATTGTGGAAACGTGGCTTCGAGATGGGCGCGCGGCGAGCATTGGTTGCACGGGCTGGTTGGCGACGTTTCGCGGAGGTCGGGCCAGATGTGTACCGGGATGCGTTTTGTGGATGATGTAGAGGAGGAGGAGGAGGAGGAGGAGGAGGGGGATTGGGAGGAAGAAGAGAGAAAAGGAAACATGTTTAGGGCGGTTTGAATGGTGCGCGTCAAGGGGGAGATGAGGATGAGGTCTGGGGAAGCGGGGAGGTGTGCGTGTTTTGTGGAGTAGTGGCCGGATTTTGTCAAGGGGGGGTCGCGGTGCGGGGAGGCGGGGTGTGTGTTGTGGAGGGCTTCGCCGTGGCGGACTATGTGGATTAGGGGGGGCATATTATGGTGGTTTTGGGGGGATTGGACGGTTGGGGCGGTTGTATGGAGGTTTGTGCTTGGTGGAAGGTTGGGGTTTCAGGGTGGTGCTCTGATGGATGCTCCAAGTCAGGGATGACGTAGTGTTTATGAGAATCTATAATTTTTTTCCGAAAGCTGTTGCATAGTTGGGCAGTTCTATTTTTTTTTTTCGCAGTATGTGCAACGCCCAAAAAGTCCATGACATTGCTTATAATCACAGTTGATTGTCCAAAAGTTAGTGTACGAGAAACGACACATTGATAGTGGAAAGATGTACGTGCAAAGTAAAAAAGGTCCATCATATATGAGTGCTAGCCTCTATACTACACGGAATAATAATAATATAAAAAAGAACCAATTGTACACATATAAACATGATCCCATGATCTCTGAATACTCTTAGCCGGCGTAACAGCAAAAAATCAAGCCACATATGTATAAATTCTCCAATCACCCCAAAAACGCCGCGCGAGATGCAATGCAAAAGGCGTCACAATGCCAACAAAGTCACTGGACAGAATAACATCTTTTTATCGCAACATATAACTCAAATCCGGCAACCCGGCCAGTATTTCTCTAATGGTTCTGTCTTCCTCATTCTTCCGCCGTTGCGCGGAGTTGGTAGCGCCAGTAAGAGGCTGGATGGCGGGCGGTGTCACAACGCGCGGTGGTGATGACCGAGTAAACGTCTTGGCCGAAGATGCAGCGCTGTTTGGTCGTGGTGGAGGAGTTTGGAAGACGGAAAAGGGATCTCTAGGCTCATGTTTTGCTTTTGGTTGTGCAATCGCTGTTGTTGGAGCTGACTCAAAGATTGAGAAATCCGCGTCCGCCCATGAATCAACTGTCGGCTCGGGTTTTGCTGGAGCTCGAGGCGGAGTCATAGGTTGAACAGGCCCCGATTCTAACGTGCTAGTTTCGAATACAGAAAAGTCATCCACCACACTGTCTGCTAAAGGCTCAGGATCCTTAGTCTTGACCTCGGAAGTCTTTTCCGATTCGCGCACTAGTGTCGCTTCTTGTGCTTTATGTGGAGGAGTTGCCCGCAGTGGCACTGATAGCGCCTCAGGTTTGGGCTTTTCAGCAGTAGAGGCAACAGACCGCTTGACCGGCTTCAAGATCCCAGGTCCAATGGGGCCATGTTCAGCGCCAAACGGAACGAAACTCTTTCGTCCAAATACGGCAGATGTCGGCGATATTGTACTCTTCAAGCGAACAATAGAAGCTGCGTGCATGGCGTCGGCTGATGAATCTTCAAGTGGCGACTTTTCAGGGGCTGGATCCAAAGTTGACACAGTATTGTCAGGAGTGGCGGATATAGAGTTCGGAAAGGCTGAAACGGGGGAAAACACTGTGGGACTTGATATCATCTCACCCCAATCATCATCTTCGTCCTCGGGGACATTGGTGCTTTGTTTTGGACCAGCAGTGTTTGTGTCGAGAGTGCTGGTGTCTCCCCATGAATTTGCTGACGTTGTGGTCGGAGGTGGAGGTGGTGTTGTGTTGGCGACATTTGGTGTTTCAAGGGAAATAACCGTTGACCCTAGTCTTTCTCCAACACCATGCGTGAGATCCATTGAGACAGGACGAGAATTCTGTGTTTGCTCATTGTGTATAGCAATTGGCTTGGACGTGGGCAGTGAGACTACCGAATTCAGGCTTGGGTTGTCTTGTTTCCAAGGGTTTCCTGTGGATGTGGGAGAAGCCCAGTTGAATGCAGCTGCGGTGTTGGTAGCCATTGGCGGAAGGCTTTGCCTCATTGGTGCGTTTATGCGCTCCGTAGGGACTGACGTCTTCGTACGCTGGTGACCCTTGGGTATCCTGGGTTCGACTGGTGCTGGGGTGTCCCAGTAAAATGAAGCCCGGGCACCGGGTCCTGTGCCTGACATGCGGTCTTCGCGCGCCCACCTAGCTACAGTCTTGTGAACCTCAGACCTGACTTGAGAGCCCGGCCATGTAACTCGAACGTAGCTGTCATCGCTGTTGCCGCTATTGAACTCCTTCATAGTTTGCTTGCGTGTGAGTCGATACCAGGCCTTGCGCCCAGAGGTTGAATATATCGGGTCCTCCGGAGCTTCATCCAGCTCCACCCCATTCTTCTTTGAAGGGAATAATTCATCAAGAAGAGTAGCGTCAAGCTGATATCTTCCAATGTGAGATTGTGCGGCGGTGGTTGTCGTTGGCAAGGATGTTGGTGTCGGCTCAGTGCATGGCGATGTAGAGCTTCTGGGCTCGTCTTCCTTGGAGTCACTTGGTGCGTCTTCAGCGGCATCACTCCGATCCTGAGGACTTTGAGTCAGGAGCGTGTCTGCTGTAGAAGTTCCATATTCCTCCTCAGTACTATCGCTGTCCGAAATTGAGCCATGATACTCTTCCTCATCCCCCTTCTTGCCAACATTTCCATGGTTTTGTTTTGGCTCTACCTCGTCTATAGTGTGCTTTGCAGTAGCCTCTTCGTCTTCAAGCGATGTCCGAGAGGATTCGACCGGCGCTTCAGGGCGGCTGATCTCGGATTGCGGTGTAGATGGTCGTGCAGAGTCGTCGTCGTCAGGTTGCGACCGGGTTGGAACATCTTTTTCGTTTCGTTCTGGATCTGCGTCTGCGTCTGCGTCTGCCTGAATGGTGGTCGATGTGTCTGACGTGTCCGAAGTGCCGTTGTCGAGGTCAGAAGATTCTCCGTTTTGCCCTGCCCATGTTTCCTCGATATTCGGTATGGCGTCTTTGGCTCCCTCGTCTACGCCCCAGTGTAAAGTATCTTCAGCGACGTTGTGGTTTCTCAAAGGGCTCGGGCTAGGTTGTCGACTTTCTACATGGGCGACGCTGGGAGCACTGATCCCAGTCGATGCACGCCAGTCGCCAAAACTCTCGTCTTCGTTCCCCCAGCCTGCATCGTCAAGGAACCCATTCAATAGCACTGGAGCAGGCGCAAGTGATGGTGGTGGAGGTGAAATCACCGCGTTCTTGTTCGGGGACTTTTGTTGCTCGACATTACTATCTGCCCAAGGGTCGCCCCAATGATCCATTGTCGCGTTACCGCGTCAAGCGTCATAATGAATTGCTTCTGCTAAAGAAGCATCACCGGGCTCCGGGATTCGCGCGTGTGTGGCGTTGGGGTAGGCGGTTGCGAAGGATCTAGGGCCAGCTTACCGCACAAGAGGTACCTACTTGCACTTGCGCGGTGTTGCCAAGCCGGGAGCCGGCCAGCCCGCGGCCGGCCAACACCATGCACGTTTCGTTGCGCCTCGGAAGTGAGGCATTTCCATTTCACAACACTAGTCTCATAAGCCAATTTTATGGGTCCCAAGTGTATTGGATCCTCATCGCCAACTACAACGAGATTTGTTGCTATGATGTAATTCCTTCTCCCTGTCTCCGGGAAGCCAGGATCATAAATAACCCGTCTTACTGCATTCCGGCATGTTGTGAGAGCGTGCTTCCGTCTTACTTTTCCTTTTGTCGCACCCCAATAGCACACACCATTTTCTTCTCAGACCCTGCAATACCCGGCATGTTGTACTTGGAAGAAGGTTTGCGGCGGTCTAGGTCTGCAGGTGTAGGCCAATGCAAGACTGTGACTGGGTCCCAGCAGCTGCCCGCGTACTAGGCAAATAGTAAGCTCGGCCAGATTATTAGAGCCGGCCATCCTAGCAATTGATCCACTGCGGGTCCGTCAAAGATCTTTGTAGATCCCATTGACCGTGCGCTACCTAACTTCTATCGCGCTCACGTTAGACAATCTGCTAGAAGAGAACGGACAAAGTGTAAATGAATGCAGCACCTGCCAATGGAATCGGAACTGAGGACATGTGATATGCGAGAGACGCTGAAATGCCCGATGTTCGAGACGCACAAATGTAGAGACTGACCAAAAACGCCGAGAGACGATGCAACTGTAAAGGAAGGAAAGAGAGAGAGAGAGAGAGAGAAAGAAAAACTCTCAAAGACATTCTAAGACGGCCACTCCAAAGTCCGCCTTGTTGGAAACAATAGACTCGTAAATCAAGGTGACATCTGTTATCGTACAGACTCAATGATGGAAATGTCGTCAACCGCATCCTCGTCGGCATCGTCATGAAGGACCTTCTTGAGGCCGTTATCAATGGTAATTGAACCGATTTCTTCCTTGGGAACCCAAAGAAGCTGGATGGCACCAATGATGGCTATGGCAGCGAGACTGAACCAAGCTGCTGCTGAGCCTCCAAGAGAGTAGATGAGTCCAATCAACGGACAGGAAATAGTTCTTGCCAGGCAGCATGCAGACATGGCGAGGCCGTTGACGCGACCGAGGACAAGCGGGGATGGAATGGCGTTCTTCATCAGAATCAGAGCGCATGGGAAAACGACGATTCCGAAAAAGGCTTGCAAGAAGAGGACAAAGTAGACACCAGTAGTCTCGAATATGGGGGGAAAGGCGGTGATAAATGGGACGAATAGGTAGGTAATGGGGTATAAGACGATCATCCAGAGGAAGGAATTCCAGACTCCAGCCCACTCTACAAAGATGGGGAAAATGAAGCCCTGGACAAAGAGGGTGATGAAACCGTTGACGGTCAGAAAGGTGCCTACGTCAGGAATGTCCTGGCCGAGACCGCCATGAAAGTCGAGACCTCTGTGGCTGTGGTCGTCTAGGACCCAGACGGGAAGGATTGAGAAGAAGGCCATTTGGTGGAAGGCGAGAATAGACATGGCGAGAATGACCATGACGACGGTTCTGTTGAAAGTGCGACGGGGCTTGGGGGGTGGGCCGCCGCGAATAGGCAGCACATCTTGTTGGATCTTGATCGAGTGCATGGTTCCAAAGGATGAACGGCGGATGTCAAAACGCTGGTCAAAGGGCATGGGCATGCCTTCCTCCATGAACGAGGCTCGCTTGCGGATATGGCGAATGCTGCCTGAAACGGAGATTGAAGCCAAACGATCGCGGGTAAAGCTGGCGATGGAGCCACGGTGGCGCGTAGATCCAGCGGTCGAGCCGCGACCCTCGC